GTAAATATATAAAGTTAAATCACGAGACTACACTTTTAAATGAAAATAATCTTTAATAATTTTGTGTAATTAATAATCTTGTTCGGCTCGCGCCAAAAGTGCTTATTATTATTGTGAACCGGGGGTTCGGACCTTTCGTTCCATCATTCTTTTTTAAATTCTAGTGCCTAGATTTAATTCAACAGAAAGTTTAATTTTTATCAATTATTTAAAAAAATCTCTTATTTTTTAAATTATTCATGTTAAAATTAAAAAAAAATACTTATTATTGTATTCTTTTTTATTTTTAACTTTTTACCGTAAAATGCTTATTGTAATCTTTAAATTGATGGACAGCCCAAAAAACAAGAAAAAGCTTTTAATTAATGTATATGTTTTCTTGGCAAGTTGGTGTCTAATTAATTCGGGGATTTGATGCATAGGAATCTAAGGATATTGGCATAGGTCCAAGTATGCTTACAACTAAATTTAGTGTGGCACTGTTAATACATTATCTTCATAAAATAAAGAACTTTTTATTTTAAAATTTAGACAATCAAAAGTTATTGAATGGATGAGAGAACTATTAATATTAAGAACTCTATCTTTATCTAATAATTTAAATTATACATTCGGTAAAATATCTAAATTCACCCCAAAAATATAGTGATATGGATGGATTTACTCTCAAACAAAAAATGAAAATAAATCTACTTACAAAACTTTCGATTTAGACAAATCATTTTAAATTTGACGTGTGACGTCATTTGATATCAGTAATTCGTTAATTTGTTATGTTGTTAATAAACTCATTATTAATGGATTGGTGACGTAAGATAACCTTACATGATAAATTTAAAATGATTTGTCTAAATCGAAAACTTTATGAAAGAATTTGTCTTTATTTTTTGTTTGATGATGGATCTATCTTTACCACTATACTTTGAGAATGGATTTGGATATTTTGTTTTATACATTTTAAAATAGTTTAAATGACACAACACTTTTTTACTTAATAAATTATTATTATTATTGTTGTTATTGTTGTTATTGTTATTGTTTCTAGCATTTTAATGTTGATTCAAACATATATCTTCGAATTTTGTTTGGGAGAGAGAATGAAAAAGAGACTGAAATGAAATATGTATTTTAGGGAACATTAAACTATTAATTATTGATTTTAGTGGTAATCTTTATTCATTAAAAATAAATAAGAGATTTTGAGTTTTAAATCACGTAATATGTAAATAAGATAATTTAAAAGATGAAACATACTTATATTTTATTATACAATTAAAACTAAAAAAATATTAATTACTGTACTTGGAGAACAATAGTTAATTTTTTTTTTTTCCTTCCAACAGCAAACTTTTTATTTTTGAGAAAAGAAAGGGGAAATTTTTGAAAGAACAAGTAAGAGAAAGGCCGAAAAAACAAAAAGAGAGAAATATCAAATAAAGAAAATTTAACTATCACAAAAAATACTAAAGTGTTCAAATTAATTGTTCACATAAATTTAGAATTAATAATTAATATTTAACTATTAATAAATATTTTTTATAATTTAAAATATTTATTTTATTCAATTAAAAACAGCCGTTCATAACTGTTACCCTTACAATCACTAGAACGAACGTCAAAACTATCAAAATTATTCAGTAACCATACAATTTAATTCTTTCTCCATTTATAAAATAAGATTTTATTTTTTACCATTTAAATTATTTTAAATTATAAAGTATTAATTATATAATAAAATTTTTTTAATTCGGGACTATCCCAATTAAACAATTCTTATCTTATAATCTAAAAGACACCAACACTCACAAGAAAAATCTTGGAATGAAATGAGAGAAAATTAAGACAGCATAAAGCTTTTTGCTACGCTTTCTGCTCAAACTTAGACGGCGCCGTTACTAAACTCCCCAAAGATTTTAATTACAGGAATATCCTCGACCTCACCAAACCAAGCCTCGATTTCAAACCCAAGCAACTAACTCTAGTTAAACCTTTAACTCAACTCTAGTTATCGTTCACCATCACGATGATTCCACGTATTTGCATTAACGGTTCCGATCCCCATTTCTAGATAGTCACCGCGTCTCTCTCTCTCTCTATTTAAACTCTCTTCCCCAAATCCCTAATCACTTCCTCAGAAATATCCTCTCTCTAATTTCACCGTAGATTGAATTTTCTCTCAATTTTCTGCAACAATGGCGAACCCAAAGGTTTTCTTCGACATGACCATCGGTGGCCAGCACGCCGGTCGGGTCATCATGGAGCTCTACGCCGATGTCGTGCCACGCACCGCTGAGAACTTCCGTGCTCTCTGCACCGGAGAGAAGGGCGTCGGCCGTAGCGGCAAGCCCCTTCACTACAAGGGCTCTGCCTTCCACCGTGTGATTCCTGGTTTCATGTGCCAGGGAGGTGACTTCACTGCCGGAAACGGTACCGGAGGCGAGTCCATCTATGGAGCCAAGTTCGCCGATGAGAACTTCACCAAGAAGCACACCGGTCCCGGTGTCCTCTCCATGGCTAATGCCGGGCCTGGAACCAATGGATCTCAGTTCTTCATCTGCACAGCGAAGACTGAGTGGCTTGATGGCAAGCACGTCGTGTTTGGCCAGATCGTGGAGGGGATGGACGTGGTCAAGGCTGTGGAGAAGGTCGGATCCAGCTCCGGAAGGACCTCAAAGCAGGTCGTGATCGCCGACTGTGGTCAGCTTTCTTAAAACTGCTGCCTATGGACTATCCTTGATGGCGTTTGGGTAGTCCGTGTCTATGCCAGTGGTGTTTTATGAGCTCAGTCTTTTAATTTCTGTTTGTAGCGAGTCGGATCCTTGTGAGTGAGTGAAGTTTGTGTGGCCTAATGACGGTTCTTGAGACCTTATTTATGTGGGTTTCATGATCCGCCGTAGAAATAACGATGGGCCTTATTATTGAAAGTAGTGAACAATCCTTTCCTAAAATCTGCTCTATATCTAATTTCCCTTGTTGATCTTCTTTAATAACTTCAATCATGAAATCTGGAGTTTTGCTTTATATATCTAATCCGTTCTTCTTTGATTTGCGTTTACTGTCATGGGATGATGGTTTGCAATTAAATTGGTTTGATCCATTTTATGGTTTCTTTCTAGTTTGCAGAAGAGGAAATCTGGGAATGGGATTTGATTTTTGTGGAAATTGACTTTGGATGATATTTGCGTTTTGGTAAAGGTGGGGGAATGGGGACAAGGAAGAAAGGACAAAAGTTTAGATAAATATCCAATTTATTTTCGGATAGGAACCTGACGCTTGGATAAATCGAGAAAAATATTGAGCTTAGAAATAAAGGGTTTGTTTAACCTGTAAAGTTGAAATTTTATTAATTATAGAATTTTTAATTAATTTTATATGTCCCCCCACTTAGTGGCTGACTGGGCACTTCATTGCGGAACGTGTGTAGGATTAACGAAACTTGATATCAAATTTCACGTCCCTTTTCACGGAAAAAAGTTTCATACTCTTTAAAATAAATAATTTTATATAAATTTTTATGTTAAATTTATAATATTTTTTTTATAGATTTTGAATATAAATACTATATTATATTTTAATTTTATATTTTATTGATATAAAATTTTATGTAAAATTAATAAAAAAATATTATATTTAATAAAATTTAATTTATGTTTTAAAAATATTAATTATAAAATTTTAAAAATAAAATATGTTATATGATTAAATTTTTATTTAAACTTTATTAATAATATTATACATTTATTTAATATTATTGTATAATATTATAATATGATGATACTGGAGGAAATTATTTCGGCCTTCGAGATCAAAGCAGCAAGCATCCACCGCTTTTACGGGTTATTATTTTCTTTAGAAAGAGATTTTTTTTTTTTTGTTTTTTTTTTGAACTTTTTCAGTTTTGTGACGGAAGAGGCATTGGGTTTGATTAGTTATTGCTTCTGAATCAAATATCGGGGACAGTGTGTTTTTGATTGGTTGGATAACTCAAAATATCTTTTATGGTACTATTGTCCGGTGATGGAGAACGGAAAATGATTTCTGTATAATTTTTTTTGATAATTTTTTTGTTTTATTTGTTTTATAAATATAATTTAATATGTTATTAAAATAATTAATTTTTTTAATTTATATAAAATTTATGATATTAAATATATTTATTTATTTAATAATATATAAAAATTATATTAAAAAATAATATAAAAAAATTATCCCTCCACCCATGAATTATAGGCCATGGATAAGTGTGGGTGTGGCGACCCACACACGCTGGAGCGATGGTTGGATTCTTCAACAAAAGCTGGTTTCACATTGCCTTTCGTGGGGGATCGCTTTTAGTTTGTGTGGTGGATAACATCTCTGTTAGGTAGCCTGCCGTCCTCATTACCACCAAATTTTGACATAGAGTCTGCTGACGAATCCATTATTTTTGACAAAACATTTTAATCCACACTAATTTGACGACTGTACCATATTCCAATAGGGGTAGTCATTTCCTAGCTCTAATCCTATATCATTCTTAATGTACTAGTCTATACAATACTTTATTTAAAATTGTAAATGTTTAATTTTTAATTAATTT